CCGTAAACTATGCACGCGCCGTTAAGTCCGCTTCAAGTGACGCCTGGTGTCTTGCTGTGTGCACACCTTGAATGTCGACGCTATTGTGGCGTCGTCGCGTAAGACGAGAACAAAAGAAGTGATTTCTGCTTGCGCGAAAACAGCGGGCGAATAGGGTTGCGAGAAGCAAACAGACGCGGCACGTTGTCTTGCGAGGGACGAGGAAAGACCCCTGCGTTTCGTAAACAGAGCCCGTCGAGCGTTTTGTTTGCACTGCGAAAGACGTGATGAGACAATGAAGAAAAAAAAAAGACCTGATATGAGTGACGCAAGAGAAGGTTGTCCAACTGTCGTAAGCGGCTGAGCGAAATCGTCGCTCTTCCCACATTCATGTAACACGTTCCGTTAATCGTGTTCAATTATTTTCACCGAATATTTGGCTATTCTTTCCTTACTTTTGTGATTGGATGCGCCACTTTATACCTTTTCGCTCGTGCTTGTGCGTATTCCTTGGCTTTTGTAAAAAAGTATTTTGACGTGCTAACAATTTCAGAAATATTTGAAAGTAGAAGCTCATTTTGTCCGAGCTGCAACACTTTGGCGTAGCCTGAATTTCAAGCTTTGTCTTGTGTGTTCAACCACCTTTTATGCATGTTCAATCGTTCGTTTGTGTGCGTGCGTGTATGTACTGTTACGAAATGAAAATTCACAAGTTCCCTTGTGCATTCACTTAAGACGACTCGAAAACTAATGCAATCTTATTTTTCTTCCCATTATATAGATGTGTAAGAGAGGAGGAATCACCAACCGCGGCATCACTTGCCACTTCCAAGCGCTGTCTTTTTCTTTTGCTGAAATCGCGCGCTCTTGGGTTTTGGTTGCTACCCATAAGAGGGCGCTTCAACAGCGTCGTGAGGCGTTACGTCACGTGACGTCATCAATCATCACGTGATTATTGTTTGCATCATTCGCTACCGACGCCGCGGAACGGTTGCTGGTGGTGGTCAAACTTCCCCCGTTAGATAAGGCATCTTAGACTCTTGCGTTGAAAAACAAAAAAAAATGGCAACGTAAAAAAACGCAGCGGGGCATCAAACCAGCGACGTCTCGCTCCCAAGCGCGCGACTCAAACCACTTAGCCACACAACGTACGTTGTTCAGCTGGCTAACGGTGAGCCGTTATACAGGCGTCTGCATAGCTTATGCAGCAGCATAGCTCATGGCTTGGAGTTGCGGCTGCGCTGACTCAGGTATGACCAGCGATTGCTGAATTTCTTCTCCGACGATGGCTGCGATTGAAGAAACTTGGGGCTTCGTGCACTACGGCTCTTATGGTTTCACGCAGGGCGTCAAAGCAGAGTGACTGGATCTCTCCATAGCCTGGCGTCGAGCGGCGGTTGAATTTTCGTGTGCGCATTTCAATGGTCTTTTCTATAGTCGTTGCTTCTGAGACGAATTTTCGGACGCTCTTCGGAGGGTTCCGCATCAGTCTCGCAAAAAGCTCCTGCTTAACTCCTCGCACAGGGAGGCGGACTTTCTTGTCCTCAGGCATTTCGGGGTCGGCGTGACGGAAGAGTTTGGTCATCTCTTTCCTGAAGAGCGCCACGTTTTCGTTTGGAAAATGTACGCAGGTTTCTAGGAGGGCTTCAGCCTTCTCCTTGCGGACCACACTTGTAAAAGTGGCAAGGAACCTGACCCGGAAAACATCCCACATCTTGAGGTCCGATTCTCGATCCAGGTCTGAGCGGCGTCTCCTAAAGTGAAATGTACATGCCGAAGCTTATCGTCGTCAGTCCAGTTTGCACTCACTGTAGTGTAACGGGGTGATAACAAAACTTGAGGAAAGGAACGTGGCAACACACACCATCTACCGTTGGCCGTGTTCAGATTCCAGCAACTTCAGCACGTTTTCGGCATCTGTGGTGAGATGGCGCGAGGAGCGTGCGTTAGGAGCTATTGTTTTAAAGGTCGTCGCTCCGCACGACCCCGCGCGTTGCTAATATGCGCACGTGCTTCCACATGACCTGGTCAAAGTGCGTAAAGATGTTCTCTGGCGCGGTCGCTCATTTCGGGACTTGGGGCGTTTTGTACCTCTTGGGCTTCCACCGCAAGTTTCCTTTCAGTGGTTAAAAAGAGCACGATGGTCTCTTAGCTCGTGGCCGTCGCCATGTTCACGAAAAGAGCGCGCTGCTCATACTCGAAGAAGTAAGAATTGTGACAGTTGTTCGCGCTCGTCCTGTGTATACTTGTGCGTTTGTTTCGTGCGTCTTTCTTTCTGTTTGAGCGGCGTGCTTTAAGTGTCGAGCTGTGACTGTGACAGTTGTTTGTCCACGCTCGTCCTGTGTATTTCGTGCGTCTTTCTTTCTGTTTGAGCGGCGTGCTTTAAGTGTCGAGCTGTGACTGTGACAGTTGTTTGTCCACGCTCGTCCTGTGTATGCTCGATTCGTGCGTGTTGTGTGCTTGAGGTGCACGCTGCAAGTTTCGAGCTGCTTGCCGTTCTTGGAGTGATATTCCAATTTGTTGCCTCCACCCTTGGTGCTAAACAATGCACAATAAACGCTCAACTACTTCGGCGAAGACGCGTTTCACTTTCGTGTTATACCAATTCCTAAAAAAAAAAGGTGTCAGGCAAGCTTCTTTTTAGGGGCGAAACTCTTTATAACAGCACCCGTTCGCCCCCCGTAGTATGTAACAAGTATAACATTTTGACCTCCAAGGTGGTGCCGGTGAAAGACTTCTTCTGTGCGTTCTTGAACAATAAAAAATAGTGCTCAATGTACATGTCAATGGCTGCTAATGGGGAATGAGAGACAGGAGCATTCGGCTTTTAGTCCACGAGCACGCTGCTATCCCCATTATCAGCCATTGGCATGTACATTGAGCACTATCTGACAAGAAAGGGTTGCTACGTTATACTCGCTGGGTGTAACCTCTTTAGCTTTAGAAAGGTTTAGCGAGCGTTCGGCCGCAGTGCCATGAATACAGTGAACTAGTATATACCATGAACTCGAGGTGGTTAAAGGTGGGAAGTGGACCCGAAGCGCAAGCCGTTAGAAAGTGTGCGTGTGCATCCTCTCGTTCAATCCTTGGAATGTCCGCTGGATGGTGGTTCTTTTATATGGGGGATATATGATGAAAAGATGCGAGATGGTGGTACTTGGAGTGTTGAATAGATGAACGAACGGACACATAGACAGATGCATGGATGTACGCATGAATGGACGCAGGGGTGGCTGCATGGACGAACGCAGGGACGGACGCACGAACAGACGCACGCACGGACGGGCTGATAGACGCATGGACGGACGGAAGCAAGAACGAATGGACGGACGAATTCTTCGCCCCACTCTCCATCATTCACTCCGTGGATATGCTGCCATTTGTTTGTTTTTTTTGGGGGGGAAGGGGTTGAATCTCCCTTTGGGCCGCACCAGCACTACACTTCATCTTCAGGCTTTATGACTTGACCGAATAAGCAAGCTTCCTGTTTCAGGTTTGTAGTGACTACAGAAGACGGCAAATATACAGATCTGTTGTTTCATCTCGGCAGCGACGGAGTTGAAATGAGAGAGGTTTAGCTCTGCCGTCTTCTGAAAGCGCCAGCCAAGGTGGCTCAGTGCCAATATGACATGCTGCTGGTGAGCACAAAGTGGTAGTCTAACGCCGGTCGTGACTGGTGCATAATCTTATGTGGACTGAATGAATAAATGGCTTGTCTGTTGATAGTTGCCTCTAAAACTGCATACATTGAACAGCTGCTGGCCTGACCACATTCTTCTTGCATGTAGATGCGCTACCCCCAAGTTAAGTCGTCCGCTTTGGTGGTGTTGTGGTTACGGTGGTGACCCGAAGGTGGCGGGGTCTATCCCTACTGCGGCGGTCTTTCGATGGAATCGAAATGTGACTAATACTGCAGGCCAGTGTGCTGTTCGATATCAGCGCACGTTAAATAGTCGACGTTTCCGAAGCCCTCCACTGCGGCGTCTTTCATTTTCATATCGCGGTCTCGGCACGGAAATCCCCAGATATTATTATTATTATTATTGAAGTTCATTGCGAGCCCGACACGCGATAGTTTAAACTTTTTATTTGCTTCAAGTGCATCTACGGATTATACTCGTTGTTTCTAGAGTAATTATTGGTGATCTCGCTTTTTCCAGCATGTATAGAGTACCATTTGCGTACACAGTATGAATAATACGACAGGAAATTGTTTCGCAGTATGGCCATCGGCCATGTTAAAAAGGTGCTTGGCAGGTTGGTGCGCCTTGTAACGGCTGGATAGCTTTGTACAATGGTCAATAAGTGCGAAAAAATCACTGGACAGGGATAAGCCATTGCACGCCTGACACTGATGAAGCGTATACATGTGGTTTAGCGAACGCATTGCAAAAGCCACTCACATTTCTTTTCTATACTTTTCTCACTCGAAGACCTCGCGCGTTAAAGAATAGTATAGAAGAAAATTTGAAGAGCGGTTTTGATGACTGAACATATTGTCAACAAAGGTGGTCTTGACATTTACGAAAACAGGAAAACTTTGTAAATATGGCCACTCATGTTTGTTTTCTTAAAACGACCCTATCAGTGGACGTGCTTTCGCGTGGTCATTGTGTGGCATCGTATCGGTGGGCACCCGTGACAAATTTTTTATGCTTTCTTCGAAAATCAATTCTCGTTTTTTTTATTACCCACTTCGTTTTCATTAATTTACTCTGGAAATGACGCAATGCCTACTGATGCAGGAGATGGTCTTTATATAAAGAAACGTCGGTTATTAGAAATCAGTGGAGTCTATGTAGAAATATTTTCTTGCCTCAGTCGTGAGGAGGGGTTTATTTGTCGACAGGTGGCCATTATCTTTCTATATCATAACCAAATCAAGAAAAAAAAGGAAGGAAACATGCATTTTCGTAAGAAAGAGTACAAAAATAACTTACCGTAGATCCAGTAGTAGGATTCCACCAAGGCTCGCTAACTCCGGGACCACAGCCAAAGTGTTAAGGACAAGAATGCACTTGTAGGGTTTGTAGATAGAAAGCTTTAATATTCGACACATATATTATTATCAATGTTTTAAGATACACAACTCATTAAGATACATCGTTCTCTGGTAATGGCCTCAATATTTTGTTTCGCCTTATCAGTAGACGCATACAAAAAAGAACGAAGTTCCAAGGGAAGCACAGGGACCACTTTCCTGATGAACGATGTTTCATCGTATGGGCTCAATCAAAGGGAGAAGTCATACGTTCACACTAAATGGCTATTCGTTCCCCCAGTACGTTGCGTACAACCTGAGCTTTTGCCAAATGAGCGTTTGACTCGGTTACTTCCGTCTGAGGCAAGTGCTTGCTGGCAGTGACAACATGCACGCGAATATTAAACACCGGAAGCATTGTGACGTAAGCAACCCGCGCATCTTGCGTAAAAGAGCACGCTGCCAAACGTGTCACCCTTCGTGTCATTCTTATCGTTATTGTCGCTGTGTACACGGACTTGGCTTTTTAGACAGTGGTTTCCGAAGAAACACTGTCATAACTTCCTGAATCAGTGTTTGATGAATTCATACGAAAGTTGTCGAAGGACGCGGGAGAAAGCTGAATGTCCTGCGTCACTTAACACTCCAGAAATTTTATCACCACTCCACTGGATCGCTCGTTGTTTGGACTACGTTTCAAATCATACTTCCTGCGTTAACTTAGGGGAATTTCTAAGTGCTTATTCGGTAACGAAAAAAAAAAATAGACAGAGACAACAAAAACGCTGACTTGCTGCGCCAGCTCCAGCAAATTTGGGCAAAAATTTGCTGCAAGCCGTAACGCTATCATTGTCTGTGCGAGACACTCGTTATGCCGGCAATTGGCAATTACAGTACTTCTTTTCAAAGGCATTCGTTGCACTTCTAGTCTTTTTTCCCCGTGACCTTCTTGCAGTATGTGTGCCGGGCGGGAATGACAATGTGTCGGGCTCTACTATATTCTAGCTTGCTTTCAGTCAAACACTGCGTAATACAAAGAGTCCCATGCTTACCATTCTTAAATACTGTACACTTTCTGCCATCAGTGTTCACACGGAAATCGACGGACCACGTCATCTGCGAATCTAGTTCATGTCCGAGGCTTCCATAGTAAAACAATTCACTTCTCCGCTCGACGTGGCTTAACAATTGAGCAGTAAATACTAGAGCCTCAGCGTGGTGAATTGAGTTCACGCACACACGCACCAGTTGCAAGGCAGCATTGAAAAGCAACGAAAAGTGTGCCGTAGTTGACACTGTGGTATACGTATGTAGACACGGCCAGGGGCTCTACGTCGTCGACACATGCCCTACGAGCGCACATATGCCGCGTAGCCACATGTAGACATATGTCGTCGGAACATGTGCCATGTAGTTGGTGCCGTGTACCATGCTGTCGGCACCATGTACTACGTAGTTGACACCCTGCGTTGGGACAGGCTGTTTTGCTTTTGTCTGTGTAGCGTGAAATGAAGGTACAGTTCACTCCAAGTTCACACCATTCGCTACACATGCCTGATAGAAAGAAACAGTGATGGGCATTTGTAGGAATGTGAAAGGCAGGAAGTGCATAGTGATGTTGCCTTTTTTTTTTCGCCTTAAGTGGAAAAAGTAAAGCCTCGTACATCTTCAGGAAAGTCGCTATTGGCAAACCTAAGTCTTACCTGTGTTTCTCAATTACTTTTATCTGCATAGGATAATCCGTGAGGGAAGATATATGGATGTGAGAGAGACCGAGAATCCAGTAAGATGGCACTGGCGTGAGCTTAAAGCCACAGCAGATACAAGAATAGCATAGGACACTTAAGTTATAAATATCATAAAGGCCAGATTTCAATTTCACATTTACACGTCCAGTATGCCCATAAATGCTTTTTGCTAGGCCACAGTATAGTCTATCTGGCGAAATTTAGCTGCATCTACAGTAAAAAAAATGCATATCCATTGAAATAGAAAGTTAAGTTCTGATGTTTTACGTGCAAAAACGATAATATCACAAGCATGCACACTTTGGGGTATCTGTAAATTACGGTTGAGCGTCTTAGGTTGTAAACGTGTACTTAAGTCTAAGCAAAACCCGTGTTTTTGGATATTATCGAAATGCAGCCTCCGGGGCCGGGAATGGCTTTTGTTAGATCGCACGTATACGTCGTTCTTTTGTGTGTGTTCTCATAAGCGCATCCACCGTGGCATTCCTCTGCCACCGGAACAGGATTCACGGTCTTCTCTGTATAAAATAATTTTTTTTTTGCTTTTTGCTCAAGGAAACGAATGATAACATTCGGTTCCAACCAGTCGTCGCTATCAATTACGCAACACCACTTTGGTACGGCACCTAAGAGAGGCTCCAGTAAGAAGTTCGCGATGCATTGAACCGGTAGGCATCCCTGAAAAATCGCCCTGTTGAACTGAGTCCCACCCGTGAAGTGTAGGCTTAGGTGACGGTTACCCCCAGGATTATGCCGAGGATTACGCCTATCGTCACTACTGCCAGGATGATCCAGAGTACGATGAGGTGACCCTTGCAACACACCTGTGAAAGAGAGAAAACCGCGTATGTTGTTATTAAGACGAAAGACTTCGATGTTTCATCACATGCGACAAGCCATCGTCAACGTCATTGTGACGCAAGAGGTCACCAAACGTTAATTAGCACTTTAACATGGAGCTCTAACAGGGAACAGATCTCTAAATAATTAATCAGTCAACGATGCACCAGAAACAAGCATAGACATGCATTCTTGCGAGCAGTCAGCCTTAATTTAAAATATAAGACACTATTATTGCCCCCAAACACGTTTACTTACATCATACTTTCCTAAATATACACTAGAGGGAACTCTGGCGCTAGTATTTATGGGAGCTGCAACGCATAGAACTTCAGTGAGCATGGGAATTATGAGTATGACATGGATTTGCCTAGTCTTCGTACTTTACGTTCGTTCTGGCTTTGCCTGGCTTGAAGCTGCTTTGTCACGAAACAACAATCGGCAAATGTGTGGCACTTACAGTCCACCACCTTAATCTTTTATGCTTATGACTTCAATTCGGGTCACGAAGGGAAGAAATGTTTTGTTGTGTTATTCGAAACAACACCAAAATATAGCAATAAACGAAGCCACATGTATGTTCGCCGCCCGCAAGCACGAAGACGGCAAATTCATGTCATACCCGTAATACCCATGGTCCCTGAACGATTGCAGCACCACAGTCCTCTCTAGTTTATTGTAGGAAACTCTATGACTTACATGACAGAGTTAACGCAATGAAAAAAAAAAACTAATTGGTAATTTGCATTTGCTTGCGTTTTTTCTGTTGCTAGTCACAACTCCACGAACATTGATTCTCACCTGCGGGGAAATTCTCACCTGCTTCGAAACACAGTCTGATCACTTTGTGTTCACTTCTGCGAGGACCAATCAAAATCAGCGGATCGCAGTTGCAATTAAGCATTGTGGTTACCGACGCGTACGTATCATCAGGAGTTCTATGGGGGGATGCAGGGCTGTGCCGGGACCAGGGCATCAATTCAAATCAACTGTAAGTTCGTTCAAATAGACATATGAGGTTTTACTGAATTTGTATACATGTATGTTAGAACACTATAGCTAACATATAACTAACCTCCAAATACCCAGTCTCAGTACAACAGTACAAGTACTTCGGCGCTGAATATTCATCACATATACTTTTCAACTGGTCTAATAACCATTTGTTTTGCCAGTATTGAAGATTAGTTCTGTGGCCTTCCACAAGGGGACATAAGGGTTGCGATAGGAATGATTGATGACCACGAGCTGTAGAACAAAGCCACAATTGAATCTAACCGAATTTCTCTGAAAGTATGATTGCTATATTTGAAGAAAAGTTTGCCATGGTGCGGGAATAGAATGCGAGACCAACGCCTTTCCGACGCGGCCTCTCTGCCAATTCAGCTAACCATGGGCGCTAGCAACCGGCAATGCCAAGGTGAACCACTGAACAACCACAACACTTCCGCAAAAATAGTCTGCGATATTCTGTACCAATGTGCTTTGAGTTGTTCATTAATTCACTCAAACGTCTGTGGGGTGGCTCCAGCCCGACACTAAAACACATACCAGAAAACAAGTGAAGGAATGAAGTGGAAATCTTTTAAGGCTCTATTTTCTTTGTCAGACACAATACTATTGATAACTAATAGACAACACCGCCAAGGAACGTATAGGGGATGTTATTAGCAATAAATGTATTGTAACCGCAACGTAAATGTGCAAAAGGAAAGTGAATGAAAATATAAGTTGTCGCGGGCAGGGGCCAAAACTGCTCGTAAATTGGCCGTAAAAGACGCGACTCCCCAAACTGGACCTGAGGAGCCCATTGCTTATACGAGCTAAGTTCGGACTAACCGCAATAACCAGTAAGTCCCTGTATGAAGGGCTCCACACACAGCAACCAGAGAGCCTTACGTTTAAATAAACACGAGAGAACTATCGAGTTATAGTGTTCTCTCTCTTGCATGCACTGCCAGTTGCTGGCATCTTAGCTAACTCAGTTTATCGAGTGACCATCCAGGGAATTCGTTGGTACGGAGTTCGATCCCTGGAATCTCCCGAATTTTTCTTCAACGAAAATTATTGACTCTGACTAACGTAGGTCGGGGGCTTAGCCCCTCACTCTTGCTCATGATCTATACCGAAATTCAGACGTCACACGCTTGCGCGCTTTGCTCAGTCTTTGCCCGGCCATACGCATTGCGAGTCTTGAAGGGCAACTCTGTACAGTCCAACAAGCCCGCGACGTGGCCGAGACGTTAGGCCTCTCTCTCCCTACGTGGGAGCGGCCCGCTAAGTTCTTAGTTCCAAGCGGGTGGTTGCTGGTTGCCCCATTTCTGTTTAGCCAGTACGCGATCGTCGTACCTGGTCGACCGAGTAATAGTCCTGCTCCATCTTGGGCGCCTGCAGGACGGGTGTCTTTGAGCGGTACGGGTCCCTCGTGGGTAGCGGTTCGGCCGGGTACACGTACGGCCGTGGCCGCATCATGGGCGGCATGAGGTGCGGTGGCGGCAGGAACGGCGGTGGACCCATGGGTGGTATAGGGGGGCCGCCCACCGGGGGCAGCACGGAGGGAGGAGGTGGGGGCACGTTCAGGACGCTCATGGAGCCGTGCATCGACTTGCGGTCCATCGCTGTGAGCGGGTAGAAACCGGGTCGCACGTCGAACATGGAGCCGAACCTGGGACCAAGGTGGAGAATACATTCAGAAGACATTTGATGTACATGGAGAGAAACAACCTTAATAAAGATAGGGCTTCCCGGTTACTGTGGGTGGAGACCCACGTTTAGGGCCGCACTGCATATCACGGCTCGGCGGGCCTCGTGGAGCGTCGCCAATTAGTTTTGCAAGTCTTGTTTGGATAGTCACATTATGTATATTTTTGTACAAACAAAATGCAGAATTTCTAGAAAATGTTTTGACGTAAGCTTCGTTTCATATAATGCTGCATACGAAAATGTATAGTCGATTTCTTGCATTTGCGAGAATTAGTTTTAACGTATTGTTATTTGGACGTTCGCGTAACTATTAAACAAAAACATGGCTGATTTCTCAAGTTTAGAAATCGGTAAAACGCGAAAGTAAAACGCGTCTTCGCTGAAGTTCACTGTGCACTGATATATAAAAATTCTGCCCTGATATGCCAGCACTTGACGTCATGGATTTCAAAGAGCGTTTGGCGTATTTTCGCGTCATCAGCTCAATAAAAATTTTCTGAAACATGGTACGTGGGGCGTATGGCCCCTCAGAAGACAATATGAATGTTTAGAATAGCGCACCGCAATCCCTTGCGGTAGAGTCGCTGCTACTGCGCATGCGTCGTAACGTGAGCCGCCGTTCGCGCTTGATCCGCCCGCAGAAAATCAGAAATAGCGTGCGGCCCGCAAAGCGCTGGTGTCGAGGCTATCGTGTATACCTTATGTGCATTTGAGTTTGCAAAGGGGGGGGGGGGGGGGGTACTGTATTCTAAAGCTCATATCGCGCCCGCAACGCCTGCTAACGCTCTAAATCTCCATAATTTCCATTATTTTTGCAGGATGTGTACTGCGCACCACATGCTGGACGCCGTGAAAATGCACGATCTCACGCTTTTGGTGCGGTAACTTAAAGACGGTGTCGGCTAGGGTGCCTCGATGCGCGCGCCGCCGCTCAGGGTGGAGACACTCTTAGAAAGGGTCGCCGCCGCCAATAACGGCTCTCGGGAGGCACCGACGCCATTCTCTTGCTATCCGCTCGCGTCGACTCTCCCCGCTAGACACGGAAAGCGGCATTCTTCACGCTATCCCTGTGCAGGATGCCTAGATGCTGCTTTCCACAGTGCTACAACAGTGCTAAAAATGGTTACAGAACGTTTTTATTTCCTAGAGACCGAAAAAGACGGCTCCAATGGACAATCAAGATTAAGCAGGACAAGTAACAGCCAATGAACTATTCGTTTGTATATTACGGGGGCACTCGACTTCGTTGCCATGCAAAATTCATTCATTCCAGCGTGTCTGCACGACTGCTTCTGAAACACAGACATGCAGTTTAATCTGTTCATATTACAGGTGCATCGGCATGCGTTCGAGAAACGCTCGGCTTTCTGATATTACATCAAGGCAAGCGCTTCTTGGAAAGGGGACCAACATCGAAACTCCGGCGGACCTACAGCTCTAGTTACGGCAGTGGCATGATATGGAGCACATCGCCTTAATTTCGACGAAAACCTTCAGTACCAACACTAGCGCATGAATAGCAGTGCGAAGGCTAATATGGAGAGCGCAAAACAACATGCGATACGTCATGCTCGTGTTTCGACGCGTTGTTTCAAATAAAGGTCCTTTGTACGTTTTGTCGAGCACGAAAATTAGTAGCAAGACAGTTATTCTAGTTCGTGATATCTGTAGAGGGAGCAGCTCATGAAGATGAAAGAACTGAATGAAATTGCATCTCTATATTATGCATGTGTGCGGAAGTTGGTGGGTATTTCGGCCGGTCTCAGTTTGTTCAATTTAACTTATTTCATGTTCCTTATTTCTATTGCTCGCTGACAGAATACCTTGCAAAGGTAGACTGGCCATGTCTGAGGACATGCGCTAACCACAAGGAAGCAATAGGCAGGATGCTGGTCGCCACCTACACCAGACTTAGACCACGCATCCAGTTACGTCAGAACCAAGCTACACGTGAAGAAGGTCATGGAAGCAAAATGTCTGCTGGTGTTAATTTAGCTCAACAGCACGACCTTTTTGTGTACTATGTGAACATACACAAAAAATAAATAAACATGTTTAGGTGTGCCTATTTGTATTGTGTATAATATATTGTGTTTAATATAATACGTATAAAGTATTGTGTATAAAGTATTTTACAATAAAGAAATAAATGACTATGCTTTTTGCTCGCAATTTTTTGTTTTGATTACCTATTGCATGATTAGCACGCTTTGCTGGCATGCGATCATGTAGCCGCCAATGCTCGTAAGAATGCCGGGAATTTGTACTTAAATACACAGCAGTTGTTCACTTCCTTCGCATACTTCCATTATTTTCCGATATGTCCGTATGCACAACGACACTACATTCAGGGCTGTGGTTTGGCAACAACGACGAGCAGTTCCCACCGTTTTCAACTGTTACAGCAGAGAGAACAATAATCTCTATGCATCCGCTAATCATTGCGATAGTAAATGCGTCACAGAATATTTACTCTTTCTTATAATCTACTCTCGTGAAGGAATGAATTATCAAAGATAAAGCACAGCCAGCGCAAGCACTGAGTGCGAGCAGGATCCACCGCTATCGAGGCGCGCCCCGCAGCCAACGTATACAGCCAACCGCGACCGGCGGATGGGCGGATGCAAGAAAATGGCGGATGCGCCAGCAGACAACGCGATTGTCTTCACCCTGAGAGGGTGCGCGCATTGAGGCATCCTAGTGTCGGCTCGCCCCCCCCCCCCTCCCCTCCTTTTTCCGCGTTTACTTGCTTACCAAGCGCCTTCTCGCCGAATGGTCGGTAATTTGGGAACATTGAAAGTGTGTTTTACTAGTATGAGAGAATGTCGTTCTTATCTTTACCGTCCTTCTATGTATATGCGAAGTCCATTTACAAGAAAATAATCATTTCTATCAATATTTATTATGCCAATCGCACGTGCTTGGCGGGCTGAATTGCTTAACACCACAGCTGCCATTCGCAAAATAGTTTCAAGCCTGAAGCCGCAAATTCCTAACGTGTTTCAAAACGTCTGTTTTGGTTCATAGCGACCCCCTACGCGGTGGTGTGGCAGTATGGTGCTCGGCAGCCGCTGGTCGTGGGTTCAATTCAGGTTGGGAAGATTCATTTTGATGTAGGCGATATGGTAGAAACGCGTGTACTGTGCGATGTCAAAGCTGGTTAAAAAACACCAGATATATATGGTCAAAATTTACGCATCCCTCCACTACACTCTTAGCCAAATCCTGGCTAGAATACACGCCTGAAGGCAGGAAATCGGGTCAAATTATGGACGCGGCCCCGTAGTCGTGTCCCACAGAAACCGGCCTGATTCGAAGTGGCCTTTCGAAGTGGATTCGAAGTGGATTCGAAGCCGGGACAAGGATTAACCGGGATTTTAAGTCAAAATTTTCCGGGCAAGATATGGCCTGTGGTTAGGCGTGGCATTTCCGTAGGCGGCCTGGCCCTGACGCGGCGGCGGAAAAAAATGCACATTTTACGCAATCGAGAGCGGTTTCTCGCCGATAATGTGGTGGATATTATGACTATAGATAATTAAAAAACCATTTGTATCAGAATAATCTACATCTGCGTGAATAACATGCAAAGCACACTCAGCACTGGAATCGAACAGAATTAATATTATATTATTAAATTATTATTTTATTTATTGCTTTATGCGGACATGTTAGAGCTCCCCTGATTTCCCTCTGGCCCTTGAACTCGGTCGTGTCAGTGAGTGTAAGTTCGCTCGCCTTTATTATTTAGGAATTTCTCTTTGCCTCCTGTCCTGTCATCTTTCTTTCCCTCTTTGTCTCTATTTCTTTATCATCATTACTATAGTCGGGTACTATACTCAGAAGTCCGTGGCATTTCATTCTCAAAGGAAGAGGCTCACAAGCCTGCACCAATGAGCGTGCACTCCCGACTGCCGTCATGAGCCGGAAGGCTGGTGACCCCTTCTTCGAGAATTATTGCCGTGTGCATGTGGGTACTATTCCTTCAGTCGCGGCGGAGATCGGCTGCAGCACTTCGGTCGTCTGAGTGGGGCTTCTCCCGTTGCATCCGACTACAGACCTTTTCACAGGAGAGCGAAAACAACAAACAAAAACGCCGCCATGCTGAGCTGCGCGTCGGAGTACTATAGGGTTGACGTCACAATCTTTGCGATGGATATTTTTTTTCTCTTTTTGTGGGGGGCATTGGGGGGGGGGGGGTGACGCTTTTTACACGCAGCTCAGCAAGACCCTCTAGGTAGACTAGAAGGTGAGCCTGGTTAGGATTATGGTGGCGCCCACGTAGCAGGCTGTGAAAAGGTGTACAGCGATGGTGCACTCGCCTCCTCATGGTCGCTTGAGCCGACATGGGTGGCGGTGGGTGCATGCCCTGCTGTGGCGTGGCTGGGGGTGGTGGGTGTCCGTGCGCCGGAGGATAGAAGGCGGCCGGGCCGTGGCCGTGAACGGGACAGGGCTCGCCATCCCAAGTGGCCAAAGCCAGCGCCGGGACACTACGCGTGGACCTGCGGATAAACATACACGCACACAAGATCAGACGCTGCTGTTGTGCTTGTAGTGCACACCAGTTTTATTATTCGGTATGCATACTGAGGTGCACAAGAACGCAGAGGAAATTGAAAGAGCCTGCTGACAACTGCCACCTAGAGGGGCAAAACGCGTGGCTTCACGTTTGGGAGCAGGGAAGACACCGTAGTTCCAGACATGACGACACAAAGTGTTCAAAGAAGTATGTGACAGTGAACATCAATGCTTCTGCCTTTTTTACCACATATAACAATAAAATGTGTTCTTCCCTTTAAAGAGAGATAAATAGATATAACGAAAAAAAGTGTGCTTAATCACAATGAGGAGATATCGGCCTGAAAAGTGGCTTTTTAACCTGCTACTCTTCACAGGGTAAGGGAAAGGAAGAAAAACAGGAAGACATGATGAGATGTATCTATGGTATGGCACAATGAGTGACTGTACATCCTGCACGCGACAAGACTGCGTGCGAAAGTCTCTCTATACGTTAACACATGTTCTAAAGACATAAAATACTTAAGTGTGTGACATAAGTGGCAAAAGAAGTCAGATGTCTTTTTTTTTTTCGCTGATACTTTTTTCCCCTTGGAGTGTACGTAACCTAGTACTTGCGCATAGCACGTTGCATCAGACGATACCCTCGGCTCATCGTGAAAAGGACTGAAGGTGGTGCGAGATAAAACGAAGGTATTTCTTAAACAGCATCTGAAGTTTTGTTGTTACTTCTGACAGACAGCGAGATTGAAGCTCTGGAGGCCCGTCATTTCGCGCATCACCCCCATCGTCACTTGGTCTTAGGTATTTTCTATTCATGCTTTCCTTAGATCACGTGATATGCGTGACTACTACTGCTACTACTGGTGCGCTACTACTACGACAACGACGACGTCACAGTAGGGGGGGGGGACTAAAATAGCTTCTCCTTAAAAAAGGAATGCAGGGCCATTGCTGTTAAACCTGAAGTGCATAGTTAGGGGCATCCAGTCATTACAGTCGATACTGTTCCCACTGCTCCTTTTACCAAACTGTTGAAGATGCCAATGTTTCACGAAAGCATTTAAAGTTTCCCCAGCACGAGAACACTCTGGTTTGGGAGATTCGCAAACTCTGTGTGCGGCGTGAGCGATTCTTTATGATGCGCTTCATCGACTTCCTGCCTACTACGGCAGTTGATACGTGTCGTATGCAGAGAGTTCTGTCAGGTTATTACGTAAGGTTGTTTCCCAGTTCAGATGTAGACGGCAGAGTGCCGCGGAAGAAAATGTTTCTCGCTCTGCAGTGGTGGCGCCCTCTCTTGCGTGGCGCAGGAGTCAACCTCATGTTTACGAAGGGCTTTCAGTGATTGTTAGTGAATTATCAATTATTGCGGTAACTTCTTCGGTGATATTTTTGTTAATTGTGTTATCTTGGGCGTCAATTCGTTTATTTGAATTCGGCTCTGAGCATTACTAGTCTTGTATTAGACCTGTATCGACCACTTGATTTTGAGCGTGACCATGCCACTCAAAATACACCAGAGTGTGTAAGCAGAGTGTCGGGGGAGAGTACAGCGGCGTCTTCGTATGTACACGTTAAAGGACAAACGCACCTGAGCGTCCCGCGAAAGTCGTGAGCTGCACCGGGCGCCCAGTGTTTGTTGGCGTGTCCTGGTCCGGGTCTTCGCACCAGCGATCGCGCCATCTCCTCGCGGTCGTCCGACGAACTGCTCGTCTCGTCCGACGGCGAGGACGGACGTCGCGGTTGCTGCCTGGTGCTGGTGGATGTGCTGCGGCTGTTGATGATGGTGGTGGCTGTGCTGCTGGTTATGCCGGCTGGACAGCAAGAGACACGTCAACACCGGTGAACAGTGGAAAATGGAGACTTGAAATTATAAGAAATCTGAATAAGGGGGAACGTCAGTGAAATATATTGCAGCAAGATGGCAAGTTGGTGGACAAAAGGAAGAAAAGTACACCTCGACCCCGACTCTCAACTGATATTTTGTTGAATAATTGTGAAACATGTGTATACCAGGTGACATCTGTAGAGCTCACAGATACATCGAGGCGGCATTGTCAAAATTCTAGATTTGTAAGTGTAACCAAATTCCTTCTCATGAAGAGTGACTTGCGGCTCACTGATACAGACATTGTCCCTTATCGTTACACTGTAGGCCTTGGCGATTCCTCTTGTCAATCGAATTGTGTGTAGGAAAATCATAGCAGTCTTATTGAAATGTCGTTCAATTTGTTGTCGTCCGTTTTCTGAAGAACACCATCATTTTTAAACATGCGAACCAGTTGACAAGTGAAATCGCTGATGCTTAAGAGTATAACGATTAGAGACAAGACTTGTATTAGTGAACTGTCAGTCGATTTTCATGAAAAGGAATTCAGTTACCTGTGCAAATCTTGATTATCTAGAATTGTGACAATGCCGCCTTGATGTATCTGTGTGCCTTGCGCATGTGTCTTGGTGTATATGCACTTCACGAGTCGTTAAGAAACTATCAGCTCAGAGTCAGCGCAGTGGTATAGGTTTATTCATTTTTTCCTTGCTTGTGTTTCGTTATAACCAAGTTAAACGTTAACATAACAGAAGCCGGCGTATGGAAAAAAAACTAAGTCATTAATTGGTTCGTTTATTTATTATTGTTGGCCGAAGGCTTTCACAGGGTGGTTGTGAAATCAAATATACATAATAACAGCGCTGCCGTGGTCGAGAGCGGATCTAACGTACAACGCACGCAAAGTGCGCAGTGTGTAAAAGAATGATATAGTAGGCATAATGCAAGCTAGAAGAATCATCATGGCGTCATCAGTTTCGCTTTTAGGTGAAGCAGTTCTAATACAACGATTTTCCATAGCGACCGTGAAGGGTTCGACTGAAGTTCGTCAGGTCAAGTAACAAGATCACCAAACTTCTCCAGTGGCGTAAATCATCGGGGGTGGTAGAGTCGGGGGATCGTGACCCCTAACTCCCTCATCGCGAGGGTGTTACGGTTTACTGACCCCCCCCCCCCCCTCTGTACCAAATGACCCCCCCCCCCCCCCCCCATGAGACGCTGTGTTTGTAAAATGTCTTGGGTCATTTCTGGCGTGCCGCAAATGCTTGTTTTTCAATGTGGACTTTGGAATGCCATGCGAATAATTAATTTGCGATTATCTGCCGTTATTTGTGTTGGAACCAATCGACAATGACGTAGGAATGCGACTGCTTCACTATGATTTTGTTATTGAAAAAAAAAATCATTTATGAACGTAAAACTGCATTACAGGAAGCTTTCCAGAAGTGAATAATGAAAAAATTATTTCTAACAGATATAAGCTATGAGGAGTAGTGTTAAACTTAAAGAAAAGCTGGACATTTACGTATTAAAAAGTAAAACAGATTTTTCTGGATTTACGCCACTGAACAATCAAATAGGCATCATTGCAATAAATTAGAGGGTTCAAATTTCATATCAACATCTGATATATTTTTTTGGACCCTGATAACAAGTTGCAACATAGCTATTCCAGCTCAGTAATTTTTTCCTTTCAACGAAAGTTTTCGAGGTGTGCCTTGAAATTCGTCCCACTGCAAGCACAAGTACGTATGAAAACATATGCAGCCTTCAAGAAAAGTCCGCTCGTTGAAACGTCGGATGCAGCACACACACTGTTTACGAATTTGTCGTCGTTATAGACGCAGGGTATTATTGTCCCGGCGCTATTTTTGAGGTTGATATATTGGTCTTCTAAAAGCTTATACGAGGATAGCCATCAAACAGAAATAGAACAGCCTGTATACTCAAGTGATCATTGTTCAGGTCGCGTCGTTGTATGCCACAAACTGTGTCATTTAGAGCCTTCGTGTGTTTGCCCACAGGAATCGCGTGCACTTTTGATCATCGCCTTGCGGCTCGTAACGAAGGCAGCCGTTTGTCGAACGTTTGTCCCCCAAAGGCATAATCGGCGCGGCCCTTAAACCGGGCACAAGGAAGACTTCCGACTTGGGTGGAAAAAGACGGGAATCGGCTCCGCGTTCTGTCATTTCCGGTTTCCGTGGTCGCTCTGCGCGATAACGTACGCTACGACTTTGCTGCTTGCGAAGCTGCCTTGTCGATGGCGAGCGTTATCGAAAGTTGCCGCCTCTGTGCAGCCGATATACGTGATTCGCATGATAAAGCGGTTTACCTGTTGTGAGTCGCGGGCTCTAGTACATTAGTCGCTCAATACGACCAACTTTAGGCCATGAAAAACAATGCTTTTCGTAGGAGAATTGTCAGTCAGTATTGTGCTACAGAATAAGTGTGACGATCGGGTTGTATAGAACTCGACATTAGAAGCTCGTGAACGTTTTCTAACACCCTCAGGAAACCTAAGACCAGCTCTATTCACTCTAAGAATAAAGAAACAAACAGAAGTCTATTGAAGCTTTTTTGCAAGTCCTGGTATGATACGTAAATCACCCTTTTTTAGATCGATTCGTGAATCTTCCTTCTTGGAGTCCCAACAAGGGTCAAAGTGTATCCTTGAAGAGAGTAATTACGCGTAAAGTCAGGAAATACCGAAAAGAATAACACGTGCTATATTCTTTTGTCCTGAAAGTGTACGAGGTTCAATTGCTGAACCTTGCACTTGTCTCGTTGCGATGTAATTTTGTTGTCTTCTGTGTGTAAATTCTCGCATTATTTTCGCACTCTACCTGAGGTACGCGTAATTACACATTAGTTGATTGGTTACGCAATTTTAAAAACCCCCTGAACGCCCGTTGCCGTTGCGCCCCAATTGCGGGGTCTAGGTATGCGACGTCCCAGTTCCGGTGTGTATACCTTGGGCCTTATTAGCCGCCCTTTCCTGTCGGGATCGGCTCGCCAAGCTCAAAACAATGGAAGCGTGGCTGCTGATCCGATTGTGCGTGCCTGCTCGAGCTATCTTCTCTTAAGCGGCCAAGAGGATCGCCTTGGAGCCGGAGAACTAGAGAAGCACGCGTGGAACTTCAGTGTCACGTTGGCGCTCGAAGAAGGGCATAGTGCGATGGAGAGAAAGAGGGGTGCCGGAGCAGCATTCCGCCGGGTGGCATTATACTAGCGTACACAGGGTTGCAAGGTGAGGTACGCAGACAATGGAAGAAGCGCCTGCGCCAGTCGCTGAAGGTACGCGATAGCTAGGGAGCTGCATCTCGTCAACGCTTCCTTCCGGTAGATAGTGCGTTGGACATCTTGTCGCGAAGACAAGATGTCCTCTCCTTCTTCAGCGTGATTTTAATGGTGGAGCTTTTTTAGCCTGACGTGCAAAAAACATTGGCGTCCACAGAAAACCACAGGTGGCTATGCGCCGCAGGAATTGGGCGAGCCCCCACGACAGTAGGTGTGAGCACTAAACGAGAGCTATGCTCGGTGAAGTGAAGCCCGTCAGATACGTCAAAGAGAGTGATAAAGAAAAAATGGTGAGAAATAAAGGGAATAAAACATAAAAAGGGATATATAAAGACATCGAAATGCAGAGAAAAAAAGATATAAGGAGAGACAAGAGACAGGTATATGAAACAGCGAGAAATATACATAGAGAAAGAGAAACGAAAATGAGCAGAGAGGGAGATAAAGGAACAGAAAAAGGGAGGAATGAAAAGAAAAAGACGAAAAAAAATCTCCAAACGAAGAAGGCCACCTAGCTCCCGTCATCCTTCAGGCTTAGATCATCTTTGCGAAGCTGCCACAATGCTAGTTTTTCTCAACTTCGAAAAATTGCTCTTACGTATTGTAGAAAATTGTGTCGAAAATTCACATACAAATGTGCCGCGTGCACGAAGTCTAACAATGACCGGTGAATCGATCCATGAAACAAACCATCAAGATACGTACGGTAGTCAGTGTGCCAGGTTTGAGGCCTGTTGCACCAAAGTGGCGAAGATGGACGAAATGTATATCTGAGGAAGTATACATCAAATGTGTCTGTCACTTCGCGGACTGCGGCGTCCTAAAATTGGCATGTATACTTGTAGGGGCCGTATCATATGGTGGTTTTGGGACGTTAAACCCGACAAATCAATCAACATGTAGGGGCCATGGTGCTGTGGCGGTGAGAGATTAGTCACTGATGGTTCGCAGATCGATTGTTTTATCCTGCCTATGGGCGGATAAGGATCTAATAACTGTACCAGTCTCTCTGCCGCAAGGTGTCTATGGCCACTGCGTTCTGGGAAGTTGTGTTTGGTTAGTGATTCATGGTCAGATCAAGCCTCATAAGGGTTAGCCATTTCTGATACCGTATACGTGTCACTTCCAAGCCTGTTGTCTAGTGTAGCTCCTGCTCAGTGAGCTTCCGGTTTTTATAAAGCTCATTGCCATGTTTTATATCAAATAATTGTTGGGAAGTACGTTATGATTATGAAGAGCCGTAGCCAATGGCTCCAGAAATTTCGAACCGTCCGGTGTTCTTCAACGTGCATCGCACAGTACGTCGCACAGTACATTTCGCCTTCATCACAATGCGACTGACGGGGCCGGTATCAAACCCGCGACCTTCGGGTCGGCAGCTGAGCACCGTAACCATACCGCCGTCGTGGACCATTTGATTTTTCATATGTGACATTACACGCATGACACATAAAGTTTGAATACTGTGTATTTGTTTCTCGCACGTCATCCTTCCATCTAAGGACCCCGCTAATGTGGGTGTAGTGTTGGATGAATGAAATGCGAGATGAACTGTTGACAGCGCATCTGGATACCTATGACTATATGTCAAACGCGTACATCGGGAATCACAAACGGTAATGCCCGTTCAAGGCTTGGAGAGTACACATACCTGGGCGGCCTGTTGTAGCTGTTCTGCCAAGCAGTCTGGTGGAGGTGTCCGTTGCTCAGCACTGTTCCGTTGGGCTGGCGGCGTCCATTAGACGAGGACTGGTGACTGTCCTCGTGGGAGGAGCGCTGCTGCTGCTGCTGCTGCGTGCGCCGCGGCTCTGACAACATCCCAGGGTCACCTGCGTTCGAGAAGACGCGAGAATTAAATCTGATTTGATCCAATACTTGCTTTGGTCAAAAGCATCATATGTCTCATAAAACGCGAAAATTGACCGTCGGCGGTGTCAACATAAGTGATGCATAAATAATTAGGGGATGACGTCACACAGATCAACAACATATGTCAAGGCACGAGGACGGATCACGTCAACAGTGGCAGTACAATACCAGGAGAGGTGCACATTGCTTGCAATGTCTCCGATACCGGAGGCATTGTGCGAGAAATCCTGGAGGCAGATGCAGTAAGCTTTCGCAGGGAGTGGGATAACACATTAACCGCATATACTTGGAATAAGAAGATTATGGCTTCAAGCCCTTGACGTGTCCTCATGGGAGGCCTAGGCCCAGCCACCTAAACCTGCTGGTTTCTTACAATAAAGTTTATTCCTCCTCCTCCCCCCCCCTCCCCCTCCTCCCCCTCCTCCTCCTCCTCCTCCTCCTCCTCCTCCTCCTCCTCGGCTTGGGGTCGCCTTAGGCGCGTGAAAAAGAGACTTGGTGAATTTTCGCGTGTGCGTGTGTGTCGGAAAAAATTGATTGATATGGTCCGTTTATTCTGTCGGTCTACAGACATGCCTGTTCTATCATGTTTATTCGCATGTCTCTTTGGTTGTCTCATTCGAGGCCCCTTAATCCCCTTCTTTTAAAATGACGCAATTTTTTTACATAATATAATGCATTTTACTTAGTAGTGTTCTTAAAGAATATATAAGTGGGGATACTTTGATTGCACTGCTTGTATCCCACCAGCGAGACAACGAGAGAGACAAAGAAAGGTGCAGGGACAAAGAGAGGTTACTCGAGCGACTATGCTGCTTGACCAGGTGGTTTCTCCCTCCAAATGACCGAGTACATAAGGAAAAATGTTACATATATGGTTGAAGCTCTTTGAACAAACAAATGAGAGGTGAGGCAACAATTTAACTAAACGAAGAAAATTATGTGGCCATAAACAACGCAACGGCTTAGTAACATGTGAAACCAAGTTCAGTAAAATCAGAAAAAAGAAAACTTCATTACAACATGCCACAAATTTTCTGCTGATATGTTTGGAAGATCCTTCATTAATAATAATAATAATAATAATAATAATAATAATAATAATAATAATAATAATAATAATATAATATAATAATAATAATAATAATATATAATAATAATAATAATAATAATAATAATAAGTAATAATAATAGTAATAATAATAATAATAATAATAATAATAATAATAATAATAATAATAATAATAATAATAATAATAATAATGTATGAATACAACATACATAGTTATTTACTAACAATGAAACTGCAGTGCGAGGGTTCTAATTCATAGCTAGGAAACAGCAGCGATTTATGACTGAGCAATCCTTCTTCAATGAAATAATTGAAATAAGTCAGTAAAGGGGAATCGATACAATCGACTGAAGAAAAGAAAAGCAGATGGTTTTTGCGTGCGTGTCATCTTAAGCGAATATATTAAGGATCGCATGACTTTTGTTTTTGGAGGGGAAGGGGGGGGGGGCGTTTCGCGCACGGGCAGTCGATATTCGTCATTGGCATTGATCCATTAGCAACGGGTCGCTGAATAGCCAAATGCCATCGCCATATCTGAACGTCAACGACGCGCCCACGCGGCGGTTACACTGCGTCATTTTCGCTTCACCCCGGCCGTGTTCGGTAACCGTGCCCAACTTTCTCTTTCGCTCTTCATTTCTGGTCTACGAAGGCTTCGCGCGAATTCCGTGACGGAAGTCGTGCGGTCACACACGTTCGAGCGAGAAGAAAGTTCCCGACTTCCGTTCCGTGGCGACGCGAGTTTTGCGCTTAAACAGCGGGCGACTCTTCCGCAATCAAGTTCAGCGTCGCGGTGAAGCCACCGCCGTGCGTTGCCGTAATGCGCCGCGGCTGGGGGCGGTCGCGGTGCGTTTCGTAGACGTGTGGCGGTGGCAGCGAGTCGGCGCTTGCGCGTGTGTGACGAATCGGCGTATGGGAGGCGCGGCGCTCTTAACAGAGGTGAAGGACAGGCGCACGGCAGTCTTGCGGCTTGGGCTTGTACTGGATTCGTGTGCTCAGTGGCGGAACCGGGGGTGTCACACCGTGCACGTGCGCCTCCGACATTTTTTTTTTGCCATTGGACACAGAGCACAAAACGACACTCGACCATACTTGCCTGCCTGGCCTCAACCTCGGATCAAAGGTGTGCCCTCACCGAAATGAATGTCTGCTATGCCCCTGCCTGTGCTGTCGTTGTTGCGTTGGGGTTTAATATACAAACGCCACGACATAATTATGATGGACGCCGTAGTAGAGCGCTCTGGAAATTTCGACCACCCGGAATTATTGACCACCATCATCATAATCATAATCGTAATCATCAGCCTGACTATACGACTACAGCAAGGCAAAAGCCTCTACCTAAAAGCCTCTATTTTTTGTTCTGATACAAAGCATATGCATCGCTGGTTTAAACTGTCCTGTGTTTAATTTGATTTTGCCGTTTTTGCTGCCACAGTTGTCATGGGGATATGGGGCTTTGTCAAGCTGTCTTATACAGCTTTTTTCCTCTGTCCCTGCCACTTACTGTACAACTGTACGTGGTAAATAAACTAAACTCAAACTCAAACCATGTTCCGCCAGTCAACTCGCTCCTGTGCTTGCTGCCACTTTATACCAGCAGACTTCCTAATCTCATCTGCCTACCTAACTTTCTGTCTCACCCTCACCCGCTTGCCCTCTCTTGAAATCTAGTCTGTGATCTTAACAGGGGGTTCTTCAACGTGCACTTAAATCTAAGCACACGGGCCTTTAGCATTTTTGCCTGTGCTTAGTATGCAGTCCCTGCGACCGGAATTCGGTTCGGCGACTGGTGGGTCTGAAGTCTAAAGCATCATAACAACTAAACCTCCATGGCGGGTCTTATAGGCACCACTGTATGGAATGGCGCCAACTGTACGAGACTTTATCACAGTCCCCCCCCCTCCCCCTCCTACGTGTCGTAACGAAAGACGCTATCTTCTACGCTGGCAGGCGTCAGAGTGGCAACCCTGAGCGAAACATTGTGCGCAGCCCACAATGCGTCAAAAAATCACTTGGTCTCCGGAATTAAGGAGCAAATTGTAGTAGTGAAGCAATGAATGGTAATATGTGTCAGTTTACTTACGGCAGTTCAATATGCACAATTATTTGGAAACTTTTCGGTGAGCTGTCGTAATTTTTGGACTCGCAATCGATGCGGCCTCAAACATCACCATTTGCGTACAACTATTTCGCCAAAGTGCGTGGTGTCCGTAGTTGCACGGCAGAGCTTGAAATTTGGACGATAAAACCTTCACTTAACCAACATGTCGCGTTTCTACATGTAACCACTCGCTGGTGTGCCTAAATTGACTGTGCGATTGACTCGTGCAGGAAAAGCTCGATGCGAGACAAGGCAAATTTCAAGCCTTCCCTCAGATTTTTCTCTCGCCCGCACGATGGCCCACGCGTCGCACTGACGCCTTCGCAAATGGTTCGCATGGAAAAGAATAGAAACACGACCGCCCTTCGTCTTTGCCGCACGCACGAACGCACGCTCGCGGTCACTTGTGACATGTTTTTTCTTTTTTTTTCTTTTTACGGGTGGAACGCGCCCAACGAATCGCCATTACCGCGCAACGCTTGTGGTGTGGGCGCCCGCAGCTTTGTCGGTCACGGTGTGCGAAGAACGGTGCGAGAAAATAAAAGAAAAGACGAAGCAGACACTCACGGTGAAATCTGTACCTTCCCCAGGCGCTCTGGGAGGTCACAGACTCGGCGTAGAAACCGTCTTCGTCGTCGGAGCCATCGGGAAACCACTGCTTCGAAGGCATTCCTTCCTCTCTCCCCGGGCACTTCCTGTATTTCTCTATATAGTGCGATGATTCCAGAAGGGTACTACGGCGGTTGATTCGTCTTCGGGCGCGAGGCTGCTTTTCTGGTCACTTGTACTCGAGCGGGAGCAAGTCTGTAGGTATCCTTGACCGCCGTTGCTACATCGAAGCTAAAATTTCACAGTGAAAGCGGCACATCCTTGGTCGTTGGCTATCAATGCGGCAGCATCAGCACTTAGTGACCCCGCGAATCTTGTTACAGGCTCTTGTGCTCTGCTAAAGCATTCACAGGTCGAGATTATATTTAGGTAGTTCGTGTTTTGAGCACACAAGCGCATACAATAACGAGCAGTAGATAAGAAAGCAACGTGTTTGGCTCAGGAGGCCATCTTCCTACGTTGAACTTCTCAAGCTCTTAAGGATCCACAAGCTGAAGGCGTTAGAATAGGTTTTGTTACCGGTTTCCTCAGGAAGCATGTACACGTCCCGTGACAAGTGGTGTGCACTTTTCACTCCACACCGACAGCCTCCACCGTCTGGAACGATCCAAACACGACATACTCTCATCAGTGAGCAGTGCTAGTGTACAGACATCTTGAAGATTTGAGGGATTTCACCATTTCCTTCTTTCCTTCTCTCTCTCTCTCTCTCTGCTGTCTGGATTCGTGGTCACGCGAGCCCGAAGTTTCACGAATAGATTCTTCCTGGTCTGCTTTGTGCATCTACGGACTTCGAATACCATAAATCTCGCTGTTACCCACGCAAGAAAACATCAGAAGCGCCGACGGAGTCTGGATAAGGTTTCTTTGAGTCCTGGATCAATTTACGTCAAACCGGTTGGTGGTTTACGGGTGATTCTTCTAGCAAACTTGGTACAGGCTTGTCCCCGTCTGCTTGTCGTCCGTGTTCTGCACAGCGCAGTATACATTGATCATTAATCACCAACTGGCCCAATCGTCCACTTGGATTGGCACAGGCGTTCGGGGTCTTCAGGTTACAACGTCTTCAGTGTTGTGCCGTCAGCACTAGCAGTTCATTTGAGAATAATGAATCCAAGGGCGCGTAAATCACGTGTTATCCGACAGCGACAAATGCGAGGGATCTTCAAATTTCACCA